TAATGTCTACCTACCTTATAAACCGAAAATATATTCATAAACAAACAGCACTTACTTTTTTATTGCAAAAATCACTGGTAATAAAAACACGAACAGCACTTCATTTAAAATTCGAGCGAGGATTAAAAGTTGGAAAATTTAAATAAAGAACAGCGTTACGCGTGCGTGTGCGCGTTTAAAACATTTGTATGACAATGCGCGATCGCGTATATTTTCGCTGTGGGGTCGTCGTGTCGTAGACTGCGGTTGAACACCATCTGTCAATGAAGTAAGTCACGGACGTATTGTAAAGCCTCTCACTTATTTCCCACTGCACTGATCAATGGGAGATATGTATTATCGGTTTGAATGAATGAACTGTGGAATCATCAATCATCCTTGTACTGGTAATCCGTTTGTGAGTTTATTGGTGTTATAAATGGTTTTCTGCACTGGTGGATTAATAAATTGGATATACTTGCAATGGATGCATTGATCAACTCAGTATGCGTGAAGCGGCTAAGAATCATCGAATGGTTGCACCTTCCCTGGGGTAGGCGTGAGCAGTGTCAGGTTCCTGTTAACTAAAAACCACCTTGTTTTATAGCTCCTGCTTGGGCTCGAAACTGAAGTATTTATTCTTCTGTGACTAGGGCCGCAATAACTTTATCCGCTACTCCAGAGAAAAGATTGTAGTTAGGCTTAGGTTTGTTTTATTATTGTAAATCCGGACACATTTAAGTACCTGATGAAACGGCTCCAAATAAGGATCAAAGTAAAGGTGAGTAGGTACCATTTTATCTTTCCATTTTCTCATTTTTTCCCATTGTTGACGGGATGCTGATGCACTTCGTTGACTTTGTGAACTTGTTTGAAGGTCAGGAGAACTTCAAAATTATAGAAATGAAGATAAGAGTCTAAAAAACTTTTTTTTAGACTCTTATCTTCATTTTCATAATATCTCTCATTACCATATACCTAGTTCTTTTCAAAATATTTAATTTATCGTTATTCTGCTAAATATTTTCTGTATTAAGGCAATTTGTACTTTGTGAATATTAATAAAATAACTTCAATAGGTACTGAGAGTTATTGCCGAGATTGTGTTTTCTCTAAGAGCCATAAAATTCGCCATCAATTTCCGTTTAAGGTGCCTTTTAGTCTGTTTCTGTTTTTTTTTATATTTGATGGGTCGACGTTTGACGATTATCTCGCCTGGTGGTAAGCGATGATGCGGTCTACGATTTCTTCTCGGAGAAGTCAGATAGCATTGATAGCTTCAACCAAATAGCTTAATTTGTAAATAAACTTGAAACAAATAAAACTTAATATTTATAAGTTCGAGAATTTTCTTACCAGTTACCTTAATAACAGTCGCTGATATCATAAAAATCTGGCGTTAAACCGTGAAATGACACGTTCTAACACCAAAATAAATTGACTTATAAACGGATTTCAACGACTTAAGTATTATACAGGTACTTACTGCTTTATAAGTAGGTAAGTGTTTACCTATTAATCATATAATTTTAGCGAAGTTCAAGGATCCACGTTTTATAATCGGCCTTCAAGATTTTCCACCGTTTTTGCATACCTTCGTTAACTTAACTCAGTATTTGTTGAAAATTATGCACATAATTTAATTGTTAGGTTTTATTTTTGTCCAGTATTTTAATAATTTCCACAGCTAAACTAATTAAAACGATTTTTGAAACCTCTTTTACGTGCTGGAACTGAAGTATCTAAGTATAAAAATAAGTAAGCAACTGGAAGTCAATCTTGTCTTATTTTACGATAATGGCCAATACGGCCCGCCCGGTAAAGCGGTTACCGTAGCGGCCACGGCGTAGCCAGCCAGAGGCATCACAAGTACGTTGCCAACCAAGACGTATCTAATTTATCTTAAGTAGGTACCTATTTAATGTATTTATAAAAAACTAGACTTACAAAACTGAAATTTCTGTTAACAGGAATCCGGGGACGGGTAAAGTACTATTGGCTTAAAAAAAAATCAGTAGTTGCACGGAGTTTGGAATTGTGCCCGGTATATACCAATAGACTCACCCTGTATTACATGGGACTCATAACATAAATAGTGAAAAGTGGGTGTAACATTGTACAGTGGGATAATGTGCACCTCTGCCTACCCCTTCGGGGATAAAAGGCGTGATGATATATTTATAAAAAAATGACTTTTTGCTGTTGTTAATTGTCCTAACACTTTTAAAAACATGTGATAAAGCGAGTGCTGTGACCTTATACATATTCCGCCAAAAGCTTCACAGTTGGGAAGCGCGACGAATCTGACTGATGTTTATAATTTAAGCTTACCAATGTCATACAGGTTAAGCAGTAATTGTTGCTAGCATTAGATTGCACAATAGATATTGATCTACATACACGACTCCGACCTTCAAGCCAGCAGTAATGACCCAGCCTCTCCGACTGGTTCACATTTCGTCATTAATCTTTCGAAATTTACTTTTGCGAATAAATGCTCTACTTTATGTGGCGGAGCTTTTAATCATACTTACTACTTAGGTATTACTTACTTAATCACGCTTAAGGGGTAGGCAGGTAGTGAGGTAGATGCTGATGCTGCAAGCATTTTTCATTTGATTTTTATTCTATATATTTTTAAAATCTATAACTTTATATCATGATGTTATGATGTCATTTTTTTTAATGGGACAAATCCGCCAAAACCGCTGCAACTCTTGTAAGCCAGAATCTACAGTAGATAATACCATGAAAACACCGGAACACTGAAGTTCGGTGCGTCCCAAGGACATGAATTACTGTCTTAGTTTCCGCAACGAAGTGAATCAGAAGATATTATAAGAGGAAGAGAAAAAAAACTATAGTTTAGTCATGATGTTACCTATTGAGAGTTTTCGGAAACGAAAAGCTCAATTTAATAATAATTCACTCACCCCTGGAGCTCACGGGCCTGCGGACGGCGAGCATGATAGCTGAGCGTATGGTGAGTTGTAGCCGCGGATGACTTAACGGGTTGCCGGGGTTCCGGTTCGAAGTGCAGGAGTAGGGACGGGATGGCTTTTAGTCAGCAAGAGTCTGACACTTCCTCCCGTGTCACCCAGGCGGGAGAAGCCATTCGATGATATTCCCCCCTTAAAAAAATCCTGAAGCTGAAATCGAATCCGAGACTCTTCGCTTAGAACTTAGCAGCTTGCATATTACATACAGATTCGTTTGCCAGCCTTTAAATTTTTTACAGTTGTTACCACAGAAATATTAATAATTATATTATCTATGGTTGTTACTGTCATCTGGGGGCACGGCAGTGTGCACAGCCAAGACAAACCAAGCGGAGCAATATTATTATTTTTTATCCTTATAAGTAACTTAACCTATAAAGACTTACTCACTTCATTTAACTCCCAACTTTGTTGTTCTAGGCTTAGCAATTTGAGTGTGTTCAGATCCAACAGCTAAAGCTATTATCGAGAGTTCAAAAGATTTTAAACTTCAGTGTATTACGATAAAAAAATCACACTAATATTATAGATGTGAAAGTTTCTTTGTTTGGATGTTTGAATGTTTGGATGTTTGGATGTTTGTGTAAATAAATGTCCGTCTGCGTATTTTTTTTGTTAATATTTAGTTAATATTTCAGGAATAGAAGGTTCCAAACCAGGGTGCGACCACGGTTCATAAAAAGTTATACCTCTATTAAAGTCTTGCAAGTCTATCTTGTATATCAGACAGGTAAAAGTACGGAGATGAATAAATGCGTTGCCAATTTAATTTTGATACAAGAATGCAGGTATAGTCAAATAAAACAACATCGTATATTTCATTAAGTGTATATTTAATTATATTATAAAAAATAAGACATGCAAAGAAGACAATGAAACTCCTATATATCCCAAGACATACGTTTACAAATAGACTGTTACATTCTGTACTGGTCAGTCCAATAATTGACACACCGTAATACTAATGTTATCCTACTGATACGCCCGCAGGCTTACAATTACAAGTAGTTACAACATTATCTATCCCGCTAAGTACTTTTCTTCTACATAAAATATTAAAGTAGGTACTATTTAATTACTTTCACCATTAAAGTTACGCTTAAGTAAGCAAGATAGCATAAAATGTAAGATTGCGGTATAATCCCGGCTTATGTACCAGTTCATTACATTCAGTGAAAATCACACAATGATAAGTGAAATTATATTTAAACAACTTAATTATTTAGACGTATGGTCATCCTTAATCGTAATTAGAACTAGGATAAGGAATATAGTTTAGAACTGAATGTCCGTAGTGATAATGAAACTAATCGTCTAAATAAGCTCCAAATAGCTTGGATACTATTACGTTCTACTTAAGTTTAGTTCTAATACCTTTATTCATAAACTACAAGTCCACGCAACTAACTGCTATCTCATTCTAGTCTGTAGAATATGAGTGAGAGAGATATGTGGGCTACTAAGCTTAAACTTGCGCGTTAAGCTTATGAATAAAGGGGCAACATTAAAAATAACAGGAGCTATTTCGTACCTACTTTTAAAATAAAAAAAACATAATTACCTATTATGTAACTTATGATGAAGTGATTTTTCAAGGGTTCCACACTTTCAGTCTTATAATATAACGTTGGAAGATTCACACAGCGTGCTTCATCACTATTGTTAAAATAATTTTATTTTGTACGAATTCAATTGAGCTTAACAGATCGATTGACGTGTCTGGCAACACTGGTTAAAAAATAAAAAAGAATTGAATTAGTCTACACTTAAAATTATGATTGGCTATTGTACGGCGTGCATACGTATAAATTCAAACATCGGTGAAGGGTCACTCACACCAGTCTTTCATTTTAGAGATCGCTAGATGACTCCCGATGACTCCATCTTGGCGTGGCGTGCTCTCCTAGTCCAGGGTGTTTCAAGTCCGTGGACTGTTAGACCATTGGTCCGGGGGCTTTAGTGCCCAAGTAATGCTGCTACGGTAGGAAAGGGCGGCGATAATCGCCAGCCCTGGCGTGGCGCCTAAAGTTGCGCCTCAGTGGGGTTTTGCCAAAGGTTCGACGGGAGAGTATCGTAGTGGGACGGGACCGTGACCAACGCATCGGCCGTTGTCCTGTTTATTGAGCAGTTCTGTAACAATAAAACAATAAAATTAAGTAAAATTATGTTTATAAACACAATAAATTGTCGGCCATCACGCTTTGAACAAGTGACTGATTAAAAAGTTCTGAGAAATTAATTGATAAACTTTAATATCAACAGAACTTCGGATCATTTTGACAATATTGTCATACAGTACACCTAGTATTATATCAGCATGATGTCATTATTACATTTTTAACATTATTGTAATTCTGTTGCCTAGAAGGATTAAGAATTATCACACGAACTTTCTAAATGCGCGTGTCAAAATTAAACAAATTAAAGATATTTTTATCTTAGTATTGATAGTATCTAAAGTAATTAATATCGTTAAGCTGTATATTAGACTAATGTGTGTGTACAATTAACATATATCAGGGAAATCTATATAGCACAAATCTTGTGATGGAATACTTAAAACATTAATAGTTGCCAAGTCGGTTGCAGAAACCCATAATTGAATTATGATCTCTCCAGTGCCGTGTTAAGGCAAAGTTTTACGGCAGAAAATCTAGATAGAGGTCATCGACTGACATTTCTCGCATAGAAATCTATTTTTTCTAATAAGTATCTAGTTATGTTTAGGTATAATTTGTCAAGAGTTTTCTACGAATGCACACGAATCTAGAATAAACGTGGCATCGTATCGTGCCAATAACTATTTTCGTGTGTTTTTCATTTCATTAGGTACAAAGATACAAATCTAAATCGTGAGACGATACTCTTCAGAAGTGGTTACGAAACGTGCACGCGTAAATAATATACTGTTTTTAACTAACTATTTATTTAAATCAGACTTATGCTTATGTTTTTTCGTCGAAAACCACTAATCAATGTATTTTCAATGTGTGCAGATGTAAACTTTTATTATAGGTACCTTTGTTACATTGAAACACTTCCAACTTCAATTGTTTTTGAGTTCAATCTTTTAAAACACAGTAGTGCCCTCTACTCAGTCGAAAAAAGCGAGCGAATTTGGGTTTTAGAAGCTATTCGTGATGCTAAATGTATTGAAAGTTAATTTTGTCATAAATTATGTACACACTGTATCAGTTGCCCACTCCGTGACATTGCATATCAATATAATATTTATCTTTGCTCTTTGCAGCTATCACTCATGTAGCTAAAGCAAACATATTTCCATACAAACTGATTATACCGAGGTACTTTAATTTGACATTTTACCGGCTGAAGTGGCCAGGTCTGTATCTATGCTACAATTAACATGCAATATTTTGCACCGCATTCTGATACATTTTGTTAAAATCGTGTAACATTAACGAGAATTGAAATTCAGATTACTTTTTTTATGCTTTTTTTATACTTATTTATCAGAAAGAACATCATCGTAGATTATTATGAATTTAATAGTCAGAATTTCAGATCAATACATGTGGCAATGATAGTTTTTGGCAATGCGACACATAAAATATTTATTCGTCGAACTGCCGATGCCGACTTCATAATTCAAGTGATCTTTGAACTAAAATATTGTCACAAGTCACTTAAAGTAATTTGAGTCGTGACGTCAGGTATTTCCTGGCTTATTGGCTGTGGTAATGCACTTCCGAACAATCACACCACCAAAAACATAAACGTTAAAAAGCGCCGAGTACATTAATCGAAGACTAATTTGATGATTAGAATATTGTTAATTTTTACAAAGCTTTTGATGCGCAATTCCATTAAAATTAGTTTTTTTACTGTAGACTATTATGCAAGTAAATAAAAACGTTTTGCGTATTGGAAACAGTAGTTAAAGTTATGCATTAAATATCATTAAGTCGAGTAAATAAATCGAGGGTCAAGTTGTCCCTAGTCTTCTCTATTTATATCGAATCCTTACCTTGGGCTGCTGGCGGTGAGTATCGACGCAGTCCACAGGCAGCTTGATCATCTCCACCTTGTACTTGTAGCCGTAAGATGTCAGCTTCACGATCGTGTGGAGTGGGACGTTCATGTACGGTAGCTCATCTGGAAATATACAGAGATAGGTTAAATAACGAACTCTTAAAAGTTATGAAACCCTGGTAATGAGTGAAGCGTAATGGAGTAAATTCTAGTTAACATTGAATAGGAAGAACATTAATGAGGAAAGGTAGATCAGAATGTTCCTTACCAAGCTTAGCGTCCAGGAAATATCCAAGCATGCATCGCAGCACTGCTTGATGTCCAACTACAACAACATTGTGCTCATCTTCTAACGCAGACAGAGCTGGTCGGAGACGCGTCATAATGTCAATGTAAGATTCACCCCAAGGGTAGCGGTACCGCAGCTTGTCCTGATCACGCCAAGCAAACTCCTGAGGGAAACGCTCCTGCATTTCTTCGTAGGTCAAACCTTCACAGATGCCCTAGAAATAAACGAAAAAGGACTATTAGCAACAGAAAATAAGGTTGAAAATACAGAAAGATTATAGTCACTAATCGGTTTAGTTTTAAAAGCTTTACTGTGTTTATAGGATTACCATTAGCGTCATGACACGTGCCTCATTTCAATTGACATGCGTACTACGTTTGTTTTAGTTTAGATAGTTTAATGTCGTGGAAAAACACGTGAACATACAATTATACGCACAATAAATCATTTTGACCATTATTTGGCACTAGATGTGGCGTCATCTGATCTGTTTTTATATTTCGTTGCTAGCAAAACATTTCGATTTTATTCAAAGTCGTTGTTGAAATTAGGGCACATAAAAATAATTACAAGCTTTATAAAACGCCTGATATCTGAGTTCTACGACCTGTAACTATTATCGGCATCCACTAAAATTATTATGCAATCAAACCGTCTATTACATCTGGTTACGAATGGTTTAGAGACATTATGTTCAATGTTTTATTCTATTTTTATCCCGTTCAATGTCAGAGCTACGTTTTTGTTCTGAGTCACAATGGTGACAATAATATGAATAGCATTCGCGGTTTGTGAGTGTCGATAGAATGATAGTACTTTTCCTATGATAATCACGATTGTTTAATGACGTCATTTGATGTAGGTCGCATTGACATTTGCGTTGTAAATCTTAGGTATAAGGCAATTGTGATCAGTACTGCGATTAGAAACTACAATCGTTGGTTTTATGGGTTCCGTGATTGATCATTCTACGTACCTATCCATTTATTTGGTTATGTTCAGTGTATTTTAAGCAGCTGAAGAAAGAAAATGTTTAGCAGATAAGTAACATGAACACAAATTTTAATTGGTGTGGTGCTACAATGTTAAATAACTTATTCTATAGACTGCATTCCAGATTTTCCGCTTCCTAAAAAGTCGACTTGTAAATTGAATTAAGTTTCGAATACTAAGTTTTTGTTCAATCTTTTTGTATTTACTTTTTTGATTAGATCTTATTTTGGTAGACATTATCAAGATCTGCTAACTGAAGCAGAACTTGAACAATTCAAATCCAAGTTATTTTTTAACTTTACGGTTGTGTAAATTCAGGAAATGCCTAATAAAACCTATAACTAATTACATCACGGAACTAGCAAAATAAATACCCACTTAGGTTATTTAAAATAAACTTATCTATAAATTATAAACACTAGACAGTAAACAGTATGATTTCATAATATCTACATTAATTTAAATATGGCGACGGTCACACCACTCCGGGGGCCGATCAATAACAACTATGATAAGAGATAATTATGTGATGTACTAATAGGTAGATAGCTAGTGTACGTGATCACAGGAATAAATTTCATTGATAGCGGTAGGTACAAAGTACGGCCAAAATTGATTGAAAACGGAACAGCTGAAAAGAATAAGCGTTTTCTCTCATAAGCTCATGATACAATCAGATCACACCATAGGCGTTCAGTGATTGTCAATAGAGTTGATTGTTATTCAGTGTTCTCGCCTCATACTACAGAAACAAACAAAATTCTTAAAATACTGCCAAGTCACTAATATGTATAATGCTAACATAAGATAAATATGCCGAAGTGTTTTAAGTTGGTATTATTTTGTTCAAAATACTTTATAGTAAGTAGTACACATAATTAGAGTACACACAAAGATAAATGCAATTTTATAATTATAGCTACACGTCATTTCCTTCTTGATGACGAAACACAATGAAAAGCTTTTAAATTAGTAATTTAGATAGTAATCAAGTCTACCTACTTATGACAAATATTGTTTTTCCCGATTATCTTTGTTTGCTGTTAATTAAATTGATCGGTAAGGCTGATAAACATTAAAATATTTAGCTTTCAAGTACCTCGCAATTAATTATCCTTGTCTATCTTCAGTTGCTAATGGAATATCGTGGTTGTGTCAGCAATAATTTACTTGGGGTCAGATTATTTTTCATTACGCAGTTCGATTTAATTTACTGTATTTTTTGATGATGATGACATTAATAAGTAATTAATCGACTCCATTTTGTTTTTAATGTCATTAGATAATCCGTTTAAAGTAATAAACAAGTTTATTTATTATTAGGCCTGGTCATAATTTATACAATGCCAAATACGATCAAAGTCAAAGACCGATTAATGAAAGGAAAAAACTAAAATTAGAAGGTGTTTTTACAGCCAGGCTTATTTTTAACCTTAAGGCAAACCTTAATAAAATAAATGTTTTAGTACTTACAGCATCCAACTCGTTGAGTGCCCTGACGACTCTTTTTGGAGCTCGAATGTGGGCCGCGGTCTGCTTGGTGCGCCATCTCTCGGAAGTCCACACAGTCATGTGATCACGGCACGGCAGAGCGTTCATATGGTCAGCCAATGCTTGAGCGTAGAGAAGACCGCGAGGCGACAAGGACGCATCACCTCCGATACGACCCAACACGTTGTACTCGCTCTCCCCATGCTGTTAGGATAAACATTCACACATTAGACCTGTGGAAACAGTGTTAAAAAGAACATGACTTTCAAAGATTTCAGTTGTTAGCACTTTGCTGTTCACTACCGTGCACCCAATTTGAACATTTATAGGCACCATACATATAATTGAATAAGTAGTCGACACTAAGTAAGTAAAGTAACTAGTGAAGTTATCTAAAACCTGTTAGTTTGACTCATCTATTATAGATTTTTATTGACACTAGTTTTAGTGCTTACCTACAACTGTTTATTTTACAAATTAGATATAAGGTGTGTTTATTAATGTAGATAATTTTGATTGTACTCAAAATATTTTAATACTTGAATGATAAGATGAATACGGTTTTTCCTACATGAATTTAAACGCGGAAATAATATAATTGATAGTTTATTATGCGGACTGACGTAGTTGGCACTTGTAGGGATTTGTGGCGACATTGCGTGTAGACTGGATTGTGGTCTATGACGTAGGACACGGCATTTATAATACCTTGAATGGTGTCCAGAAACAAGACGATTGGATGTTCAGTTAATCAGAGACCAGTCACGCCATTTGTCTTTAGCTCGTTGATTAAAATACTAGGTACATAAGGTTGAAGGTTGGATGCAAAAATAAAAATAGTTTCAACCGTCATTAGATGTATCTAGAGTTCTCATGAAAAATCTAAATATAACCTACCACAATATTTATACGAAAACATCCTCAAACGCTATGTTTATTGTAAACAAAACTAGAAATCTTGAAGTTGTTATTGATCGGCGTATGTACGTGGCGGGAAAATAGCGTCCCCGCCATCTTTAGGCGCGAAAATAAACATGCACTTCGAAAAACATGTTTATTTCAAGCGGAAATGCAATTAGAATGGTCATTATCTAGAATCTATATGCATTTGTAAGCGCTGCCCGCTCTGAGTCCTCTGCGGCCGAGATGTCCGGCGTGGAGATGTCGGAGGGCGAGCGCGGCTCTGGGAGCGAGAGCTGCTCCGGGGGCCTCCAACAGGCCATTACGGCGGAGCTCTACAAGCTGGCGATGGGGAAGTCCCAGCCGGTTAGGCTCCGCCTCCTCAGAGCGGCGGCGGCCACAATAACGGAGGCGGCCTTGGAGCAGTGTGCGATGCCCACTGCGGGAAAGGTGCGCTCCGAGCTGGCCGAGATGCGGCGGGAGCTGACGCGCTTGGCGGCCTCCAATGCGGCTCTAGAGGCCGAGCTGCGGACGGCCAGGGCCGAGCTTGCCGCTGCTCGCGGCAGTCGCCCCCCCCCGGCGGAGGCCGACGTAGTCGGACTGCTGCGGGCGGAGTTGGCTGCCTTCCAGCGACGTTTGACGTGCTGGAGGGCAGGCTCTTGCGCCCCCCACTCGCGGCGAGTCAGGTCGCCCCCGCGGTCCCGCGGTCGTACGCGGCCGCTGCGGCCAAGCCTTCGACCTCGGGTCAGGCTAGCCGCAGCTCCCAACCGCTGGCAAGGGCGCGACCGGCTGCCCCGGCGAGGGCCTCGGCGCCCCCGCCGGCGCAGACCCCAGCTGCGCCGACGGCGCCAGCGCCCGCAGGGCGCAAGGAGAGGAGAGGCGCTCCAGCCCGGCAGGCTGGAGTTGCGGCAGCGGTGGTGGAACCCGCCCCGCGAGCGGAGGACGGCGGCGGGTGGCAAATCGCCGGCGAGGCGAGGAGAGTCGCCAGGAGGGCCGGAAGCGCCGCAAAAGGCGCAGCGGCAGCGACGGCAGCAGCAGCGCAGGGAGAAACGCGCTGCTGCCTTGCTCCTCGCCCCTAAGACCGCGGCTGTAGTGATTACGCTGCAGCCCGAGGCGGTCAATAGGGGCGTCACTTACGGCGACGTCCTCGCCAAATTGAAGGGGGCGGTATCTCCTGCGGAGTTCGGGGCGCCAGACGGGTTCGCGGTCAAGGTGACCGCTACCGGAGCCCGTCTTTTGGAGGTCCCCGGCGCGACCAGCGGCCCATCGGCCGACGCCCTGGCCGAGAGGCTTAGGGCGTGCCTCGGTGCGGACGAGGCCCGCGTGTCCAGGCCAACCAAATGCCTGGATGTCAGGATCTTGGGCCTGGACGACTCCGTAACGGAGAGTGAGGTGGTGGCCGCTGTGGCCAGGCGGGAGGGTGCCCTGCTGACCAAGTTAAGGCAGGCGCCATCCGCCCGGACAACTCGGGGCTGCGCACTGTTGTGGTCAGCTGCCCCGTCACAGCGGCCAAGAAGCTGAAGGAGGGCAAAAGGCTCTTGGTGGGATGGGTCTCGGCGCAGGTCAAGCTGCTCGAGACCCGGCCTCTGAGGTGCTACCGCTGTCACGTGGGGGAGCACGTGAGTGTCAAATGCACCTCGGAGGTGGACCGCAGCGACTGTTGCTTCCGCTGCGGTCGGCCCGGTCACAAGGCCGGCTCGTGCAACGCCCCGCTGCACTGCAATGCATGTGCGGCGGCTGGCAAGCCGGCCAATCACCGGGTCGGGAGCAAAGGCTGCTCCCCTCCCGCCAAACCCAAGGGCAAAGGCAGGCCCTCCGCCGCCCCTGCCGTTTCCGCCGCCGCCGCCGCCACTGCCACCGCAGTCGCCGCTGCCGCCACTGAGGAGATCGGAATGGACTGCCAATAATGGCCCCATTCCGCCTCCTCCAGGCGAACATCAACCGCTGCGCCGCTGCTCAGGATCTCCTGCTCCAGAGCATGGCGCAGTGGTCGATCAATGTCGCCGTGGTCTCCGAGCCGTACTTTGTCCTGCCCAGGGATCACTGGGTGGCGGACCTGGACGGCTCGGTGACCATCATCTCGTCGGCCGCCGCCGGTACCCCGACTCTTGAGGCTGCTCAAAGAGGCCGGGGTTGTGTCGCAGCACGGTTCGGAGAGCTCGCTGTGGTGGGCGTGTACTTCTCTCCGAACCGAACTCTCGCCGAGTTCCACAACTCCTTGAGGGAGTTGGTCACTGTCGTCGTCGGGTTCCGTTCCCTCCCCGTGCTCGTCCTCGGGGACTTCAACGCCAAAAACTTGGCTTGGGGTTCCCGGTTCACCGACGTCCGGGGTAGGATGGTGGAAGACTGGGCCCTTGAGACAGGCCTAGTCGTCCTGAACCGGGGTTCTGTCCCCACGTGTGTGCGGATGCAGGGCGAGTCGGTGGTGGACATTTCGTTCGCCAGCCCTGCTCTGTCACCGCGTATTGTTGGCTGGCGCGTCATGGAGGAGGTGGAGACGTACTCCGACCACCGGTATATCCGGTTCGACGTCTCCGCCGAGTCCGCAGACCCGCCGGTCAGACAGGCCCCATGTGGCCCGCGTTGGGCGCTGAAACAGCTGGACCGGGAGCTGCTCCTGGAAGCCGCCATCGTGCAGGCCTGGGTGATACCACCGGTCAGGCCTGCCGACGTTGACGATGAGGCCAAGTGGCTCCAGGACGCCATGTCCAGGATCTGTGACGTGGCGATGCCCCGGATCCGGTCGAGGCAACAGAAGCGCCAGGTGTACTGGTGGTCGCAAGAGCTGGCGGCTCTGCGCAAGGCGTGCACTACTGCGCGACGCCAGTACACTAGGCACCGCAGGCGCCGTATCCGTCCTCCTAATGCGGAGGCGAGAGAGGCGGAGTTATACGAGGGATACAGGGCGGCGAAGGCCCTCTCAAGGGGAGATATTGCGGGCCAAGGGGAGGCCCGCCGAGAGATGCTGGGGACTCTGAATAGAGACCCGTGGGGACGCCCGTACCTGATGGTACGCGACAAGCTCCGTGCTTGGGCTCCCCCGCTCACTCAGAGTCTCCGGCCAGAAGTCTTGGAGGAGGTGATTGGCGCCCTGTTCCCCCGACTGTGGAGGGGCTTCACCCCTCCGTATATGACTCCGCCCCCTGCGGTGCCCGACGCGGGCTACAGCGACGACGACGATGACATCGTCCCAGAGGTGACCGAGGCAGAATTGAGAGCGGCGGTGCGCCGGATGGGCGCCAAGAACACCGCCCCAGGACCCGACGGCCTGCATGGCAAGGCATGGGTCCTGGCCTCAGAGGCTCTCGGGCCTCGATTGATTGGTCTCTACAGCGCATGTCTGGAGAGAGGCCAGTTCCCGCTTCTCTGGAAAGCGGGCAAACTGGTCCTCGTGCGGAAGACGGGGCGCCCTGCGGACTCTCCGTCCGCGTACCGGCCCATAGTGCTGCTCGACGAGGTGGGGAAAGTCTTCGAAAGAATCATTTCGAACCGCCTCGTCGCGCACCTGACGGACATTGGGCCGGACTTGTCGGACGGCCAGTTCGGCTTCCGCAGAGGGCGCTCCACGGTGGACGCCATCATGCGCGTTAGAGACCTCACGACGGGGACTGCAGTGTCCAGGGGTAAGGTCGTAGTGGCGGTGTCTCTGGACATCGCCAACGCCTTCAACTCCCTGCCCTGGAGCTGCATCTTGGAGGCACTCCGATATCATCGGGTGCCTACCTACCTCCGTCGTGTAATCGAGGCTTACCTGACGGACAGGTCCGTCAGCTACCCCGGTCACCGGGGCGAGTGGAACCGGCGAGAGATGTCACGCGGTGTTCCACAGGGTTCGGTTCTGGGGCCGCTCCTGTGGAACATCGGCTATGACTGGGTGCTGCGCACCGACCTCCCGAACGGCGTTAGCACAATATGCTACGCCGACGACACGCTGGTGCTAGCGCACGGGAGGTCGCACCAGGCGGCGGCCGACTTAATGGCGACAGCGGTTGCGACAGTCGTTGAAAGAATCCGGCAGTTGGGACTCGAGGTGGCGCTCCACAAGTCCGAGGCCATGTGTTTTCATGGCCGCGGGAACGCGCCACCTCCGGGTGGGTCCCAAATAACGGCGGGAGGGGTTACCATCGGCGTCGAGACGGCGATGAAGTACCTAGGACTCGTCCTCGACAGTCGGTGGAACTTCATAGAGCATTTCCGACGTTTGGCTCCAAAGTTGGAGAGGACGGGGGCTGCGTTCAAACGCATCCTCCCCAACCTCGGGGGGCCAAACGCCTCCTGCCGGAGGTTATACGCCGGGGTCGTGCGGTCCATGGCCCTCTACGGCGCCCCTGTTTGGGCGCCGAACTTGTTGCGGCGTCCTGCTCGGACGCTGCTCAAGTCACAGAGGGTCATGGCGATCCGAATGATCCGCGGATACCGCACGATCGCTGGGGAGTCGGCGAACCTCCTTGCCGGATTACCGCCGTGGGATCTGGAGGCGAAGGTGCTCGCGCGCGTGTATAACATGCGCGCGGAGGCACGTCGCCGGGGCGAAACTCCGCTGCCGCGCCAGATAAGTGCGTGGCGGGATGAGCTCCGGCGCGATCTCATGGCGGAATGGCAGCAACGACTGTCGCAACCGAGGGCTGGGCTCGCTGCCATTGCAGCGGTAAGTCCCCTCTTTGAGGAGTGGCTTGAGAGACGCTACGGCGTCCTCACCTACCGCCTGACGCAGGTCCTCACCGGACATGGAAGTTTCGGGAGGTACCTGTGTCTGATGGGGCGGGAGGAAACGCCCGGGTGTCATCACTGCGAGGACCGCCCTGAGGACACGGTGGAACACACCGTAGCGGAATGCCCTGCGTGGGCTGAGCACCGCCGTGCCCTCAGGGAAGTGATCGGCGATGGCGACCTCTCGCGTCCGGGCCTAGTGCTGGCCATGATGCGGAGCGAGGGGGACTGGGATGCCGTCTCCTCCTTTTGCGAAGCAGTCATGCTAGCTAAGGAGGAGGCGGGACGCGTGAGGCAGCGAAGCGCTGCCTCCTCGCGACCCAGCCATCGCGAAGGACACACCGGGCGTCGGGGATCGCGGGACGATCTCCGGCCACCGTAAGCGCGGGCCTGCGGACGGCGAGCATGGGTGGCTCCCCGTCCGACCAGAAACAGACCCGAGCGTACGGCGCGTCGCGTTCCGCGCGCGCCTCAAAGAGCCATCAGACCACCACAGATGGGGCCCAATAGGGCCGATGCCGATTCGGAGTCGCGGAGAACCTAACGGGTAACCGGGGCTCCGGCTCGACGTGCAGGAGAAGGAACGGGGTGGTTTTTAGTCAGTAAGAGTCTGACACTCCCTTCCGCCTCACCCAGGCGGGAGCAGTCATTCGATGATTTTCCCCCCTTAAAAAAAAAAAAAAAAATATGCATTTGTAAACATAGGTTTCGTCACACGATTTATGAAAGCAAAATAAAGGGGAGGTCAAAATATGATTCGTAGTAAAAACTAAACAAATGCTTACCCTAGTAAAGTATAGGGTCTGCGGTAAGCCCCTCATTCCAGACAAGTATCCCAGGATACCAGACTCCTTCTGTCCAGCAACCCTGTGAGCTGTCACCGTCTCCCCAACATTCTCCACGCGAACAAAACTGATCGTCTCCAACTCTGCATCAATAGGCTCATACTGCCTCATGTAATGTTCCAATTTCTTCCTCAAGTCATCTACTGCTTCTTCTTCACTCATGGACTTATAGTCAGCAGAGTAATGGAGAATCTCAATAATGTTCCTCTCAAGCAGTTCCTGGTCCTCGCATACGCATTCGATGAAGAGGATCCTGAAGCCCATGTCGGAAAGGCAGTACTCGCTCAATTCCCGGCGTTGCTCCCTCGTGATGTTGGTGCCGTCGAAGATCTGGAAGAAGTTTTTAATCATGAGCCTTTAACATTCAATCACAATTTATTTCGAATTCTTTCTTTTAGGTGAAGGTTAAGTTTGTCGATTAGATGACCAAATTAAAATTGTTTGCAAATAAAAGAATAAGGAAAAATATTACAGTAATTACGCAAAAATGACGTGTTTTACGTAAGTTTACAAATATTGAAATCCCTCATTATCTTTATCTAATCACGATTTTTAAACTGGAAGTGATAAAAATAGCTTTTTCTTGTAAAAACAATGAGTGAATGACTAAACCTGTCTGCCTAATGCTGTTTGAATCATCGACGTAATCCTTGACAAGAAGATTGGAAAGGTTTATTGTTTTTATAAATAGATTCAACAGTAGGATGACACATGGAAGTAAGTATCTATTGATATTTTGATTAAGCCCACTGATTAGAATATTATTTTCTTGAAAAGTGAACAGACGTGTGCGAGGTTAGTACATAATATTTCAAGTGAAATGTCACATTTCGTTCAAACGTTTACGTTTCGTTTAACCGAGAATTTCATAGTTATATAACCTAATCATTTAGCAACACTTGAAGGGCAACACCTCATTCAAACAGCAGAAGTGATTAGAAAACAAAACACGCCTAAGTGCATATTTCTACTTAACTAACTCTGTAGTAGGTATAACTTACGTAACATCCTTAAACAAAGCACGTGCAACATGCATTTAGCTATTTCCCAGCATAATATTACGCTACTAAAACGATCATTGTTTAATCAACCATACATGAAGGTACACGCCAGTTAATATAGCAATTAATCAAATCACGTTTTCATACTTCGGAACCCCACAGTTTGGTTTAAAACAGTTGTAGGGTTACCTTACTATGTCGCAATGTCAATTTCTGTTTCATTATTTTGTTCCCAAATACTAGCTTTTTTAATCTATAATGTATGTAGCTATAGATATGATACATTAATAGAAAATGATAACATGAAAGTGTAGTTAATGATTCATTGTTTAGATTAATCAGCGGATTATAGCCATTAATTGCGACTCAAAACCTCCCTTATCACGATTTTTGATAAGTGATTAAGTTTTTCGTTATGTTTACATTAGAATAGAGTACTGGTATTTTGTACTAACTTCTATAAAACTCCATTATTCCTGTTAAACTGAGAATTTCTAGAAAATCTGTCTTAGTCATTAAGAATCACTCCTGTCTTGTCTAGTTGTCTAAACACAAGTAGGTTCTTATAATAACTATCGTAAGACATAAACTGAATTAAGTAAAAATTGCAAGTTACGTAAACATATTGAGAAAAGCTCTACTAGTTTCGAGTCACAGAGGGACTCGTCCTCATGAGCAGCGTGCGCAGTCGTGGCGATGTCGCGCAGCCTACTCGAAGTAAACTCGTAGATATTTTCTCAGTATATTTACGCAAGTAACTCGCAATTATTATTTAATCCACAAGTAAGTTTTCTAAACACAAGTAGGTTAAACAATGTGTAGATGTTATGATCACGCAGTGTCAGGCTATTGAAAAGCTGTGGATGAATACAAACTGATGATGATTATAATAGTGTTATCAACTTACAGCGACACTGTTTCCATCCTTGAGCCACAGAACAGCATCTTGTACAGCCTCGCGGGCGCTCTGGCGACGGATCGCGGAGCCCTGGGCGTTGTCAGCGCGGAAAATGTCATGGCTGCCATACAACGCCATGTGACGACGACGGTACTCGCTGCAGTCGAACACTGGAACCAAAAATAGTATTTAAGACATTGTGTTTAAAGTTACTTTTAGATTATAAAGATAAAAGGACCAAAACCGGACATACTCGAAGGACCAGTTTCAAATTAGGACCAAAATGACTGCTCTGACAAAGTGATAATGACTACATGATAAGGTTCTGGAAAAAGCTAGTCATTTCTTTATCTTTGTTTTACATTCTCTCTCATTCCCTCTGGAAAGTTTCCTGTAGGTACCGGGTATACATAGTATTTTCACGTGTCACCGTTGTTTATACAACACCCACATTTTCCTCGGCGTTAATTTATATTACAATCACTGCTTTGTTTGACAAACAAGGAAATTACCGAGTAAGCTACGCATTACGTAATTCTTACAAAAGAGACATTTTGACGTTTATGCATAAGTGCTTTATGTATTGCGTAAAGTAAGAATATAAATGGATAGCGCTTAACTGTTTACAAATAATGCCAAAGTTCTTTAATGAACATAAACGAATGATTACTCAATTTTAGTAGGTACTGTATCTTATTTATAGAAATGTCTCCAAGTGGTTGAGTATACTAATTAAGTACTGTTTGTTTCAAATATTTGTCCATGACAACATTTCATAATATAATTTTGTTTACGTCTACACTACAAGCGACACGTTATGCAAGAGCTCTATATTTACTTGTATTGCAATCTAACGCATATAGAATCAAAGAACACTAAGAACAGCTACGTGCTTGTATCAATTTTATCCTTTGCGATCTCGTGATTCTCAATTAGAGCAGATTTTTTATCAAGATGAAGCCAACATGATGTATCTAATCAGTACGGAGATATTCTTGTAATATCGTGAGTGTTTTGTTATGAGACGAGACCACGTTTAACATCTGGGTCAGGGATATCTACCGACTTATGTACCTAGCAGTCCACGCTTATATTATATTCTACAGTCGCTAACGTGCATGTAAACACAATTTTGTTGACACAACTTCGTAAACAGCACGCTGTAATCCAACCTGTAAATTGTTTTATTAATAGAAACCTTTTAATACCACAATTCAAAGACAGATCGGATTGTTTGTTACAAATTGCAAGCCCTAGATTACTCAAGGAGAAATGTATTACGTTTTTCAATGGAATTGCATCGAAATGTCAAGAATTTTACAGATATTTGTGGTCTACTAATAAAAAGGATATCTTATCGTAATTTAGGTGCATATTTTCTTTATCAATCTCATATGATAGCACTTTCTTGGTAGTTTTAAAATGTCATCACCAGGAAAAACCAAAGCGGCTTAACTTTTTAAAGAAAATTGTTTCCCGAAAAAGCTCGTCACAAATCAAAACGCATCAATCTTAATCTTTGCTAGAATATCATGAGAGTTTGTAGAACAAACAGATAAGATTACCCTTTGTGGGGGACATTTGAATATCTACCTACATCAAATATGATCCATCATGCTCAAGTACACTTGTATAAACATTGAACTCAAGATGCAACAAGAATGGTCCACATGTTCTAGAACATTCCGAAAATTTCAACGAAGACAATTTTGGACTTAGCACCAGAAACTATTAAGGTCCTAATAATCTCGTAATCTCCAGCACCAGACGAGTTATAAAAAGTCAATTGATATGACGTCAAAGCATAAACCATAGCAATAACTTGTTTAATGACTTGTAAACAGAGAGTCGTATATCATAATTCCAGTTTAGTTCATTTGTCAGACAATTAATTAGGGCTTCCAGCGATTGTTGACTAATGAATTCCAGCAAACTTATGGTTTGTTGTGACTGAGACATAAGACAGTGTTTGTACACAGAAAGTACTGTCTGTAAATTTTGGTCCTAAGTTTTCAACGAAGGACCAAATGTACTATGCCTCTTTAAGTAACTTAGGACCATATTTTGGCATATTATGGAAAGATTACTTCAAGTAATTGTTTTCTATTGTCTTTCCCAGTTTCCTATTAACTTTATCATTCTTATAATTTTGCTTACCTTTTGTACTCTCTCCATTCCAGTTCAAATGTCTGGCGAGTCTGTGTGCAAGTTGGCTCTTGCCACGAGCTGGTAGACCAACCAGCGCGATGAGCAGTGGCGCAAACTGACTGATGCGACGTGAGCGCATGGATGCTGTAACAATGGAAAATAAATAATGAATATTAACCAAAGACTTTTGGAGTCTTAAGATATTGTGGACCAAAGGACCAAATTGCTTATTGCTAGGTTTGAAAGACCTTTTGTAAGATATTAAACTATTTGCACTTATTGCGTTGTAGAGTTGAGTTTCACTAAAATTTCCATATACTTACTTAAATAGAAAAATAAATACTAATTTAGATTAAAGTTACATACACGTATCATTATTTAGTGAACAAGCAAATGTGTATGTACCTACATATCAAAGCAATAAATGGCTATCAAACAGCATAATAATTGTGGGCGTGTCTAATTACATTCTCAATGCGTTCCAATTTCCAATAATAGTAGCTGTTGTCACACTTGTCCAGAATTGTTTATTAGATTGCTACAGACATTTGTCAGCTAAATATGAATGATTAACATTAACCTTAGTTGAGAGTCCGGGTCAGAATCAAGATAAATAAATTTACTTAATCATTCCTAGACGTTGTAAACAAAATGTTTATAGTGTGAACCGATAGAGAGCTGACACTTACTTTGATCTATGCTAAACTTTTCATACGATATGAATATTAGAAAATGAAATAAATACTTAAAGTCAAAATAGCATAAACTGTTGGAAATGGGTCACTTTCAGAGAATACGGCGAATTAGGACGAGGTTTTCCAAGAAATTCTTGCCAGCTTCTCAAGAAAGACAAATATTGGTTCAGCTCCACCAAATTAAACGTTGACACACATTGATAATTTTAAAGTTAATTCTTATTAGATCAAACGCTGTTCCAAGGACGACGATGAATAAACCCGGTAGAGATATAACTAATCTTCCTAAATAGATAATGCTTGGTTTGGAACTAAGAAGTTGCTATGAGGAACCAAATAATTCAGATTAAAACTCAAAAGCTACAGCACTAAATTGAAATAGTATAGGTACTTCTACAGAACCGGCTTGATAAGCCATTTACAACATTCAGAACGAGTATTGATAACGACAATTTCTTGTATCTTTAAATTCGACTTGTAAGTAGGTACGTATCAGGTTTGAAAGATCAAGCTGCGTCATACCACCTGAGCGGTTTGTACAAGTGGCATTTTATGGATGTTGATATGGCTGAAACCGACCAATAAAATGGCGGCACGACCGACACGCCTTCAACCTTGCCTTTGTCTAACAAACAATGACATCATCCCAACTTCAACGAGTAACGAACTTTTTGCTCTTTACCTCTTTCGGCTTAAGTATCTACATAATGTGATGTAACTAATGCCATCTAGAGGTTATAATGACTGCATGACATTGCATTTTAAATAACTTATTTGTTTTCAATAAATTTTGCTGATAGTTTAATCTTGTGTCAAATTTATCAGCAGCTGTTTCACTTTCTCCGTTCAATTTCATGTGTAATTAATTCCCTCCTGTAAGCTGTGTTATCGTAAAACCCAAATGAATGATTGATAGATAAAGCAATTGATTCGTTTTAGCTAAATGTTACTTATTTGTTCCACATTTTTGATTCATGTGCCATGGGAGGGCGTCAATTTATATTCAATTCTCAAAACACTTAAAATGTATCTCTATTTCTTTATATTCAATTTTAAACAGTATGTTGTGTTATTTTAGTACAACAATCATAACGGTAACTTTCATTTCGCAACTGCATCCAAGGCCCCATTTGTCGTTCACTTGCGCCCGCGCTACTCCAGAGTGTACGGACTTTGTACCGCCAAGGAAAAGAACGGAGACGAGACGACGCGTGGATGGCCGATATATTTAGATTAACGATGGAGGTGTGTCTCATATCTATTACTACTTAAATACCCGGGCTTCTACTACAGTCAATGGCATGGTTTACTTCGAGTTTCAATATTTTAAAACGGTCTAGTTATGTCGCTTGGATGTTTGTATGTCATGTTTCTGAGTAAATGCTGTGTCTTCCAAGACGATTGACAGCTACATTGATATTTTCTTCTTGAAAATGTTGAAGGAAAATGATTAAAGATAAAGTTGCAAGTTGATCCCGTTTTATTTGGGACATAAAAAACTGTGTCTATGAAAATAGTTGCTCGAGTCCTGACATTTCCCTGTTTAATCAGGACGACACTGCAAAAGGAGAAACAGGAAATTGAAAATTTGCCTTTCTCCAAACCAGAATGGAATTGACGCAACTTGTTTGTTTCTTAAATTGTAGGAGTATAAAACAGTTTTAAAAATGGCGGATCCTTTACTTCATTTGCATACCATGAGGTCTTTGACACCAAAGACCAGAATTGGTCCTTAAGTGCTTAATTTGGCTCAAATTCAAACTTTTTCTTTATATTCGTTCTTTTTATTGTTCGTTAAACTAAAAAAAGCTAACTGTTGTAACAGTAAATTATACAAGTTAATTATGTTATTTGCGTGGATTTATGGATCTGAAGATAATTAAAATTATATACTATCTCAGTACTATAAAGAATCTGTTGTGTCTGGTTGGAACTCTGAGCAAATAACAGTGCATTATAATTTTCCATACGGAATTGTGTTCGAATGGAAAACATAGAGTGGTTAATACCATCATATTTGTTACCTATTGTTTGCTTTCAACATGCAATGAATAGGTGCTATTTAGAAATTTTATGATGAATAAACCACATCAATTGATGTCACGTGGAAAAACAACGTTAAATTCATTGTTTAGTAGACAAAGTTAGCTCTATGAGTTTATGACGTGACGCAGCGTGTGAACTGTCTCAATTATATCTATAAAGAGTAGTTTGACCTCATCTGTTCAATTGACTCAAATCAATTACACACAAAACGTAACCACGTGGTGTAGAATGTTCTCAAGCTTGTTGCTACATGCAAAAATTGTATGAAAATAATCAAAAATGCCCCTACAACTTATTTTTTTACAAAACGATGTCAGCAGAGGTCTGTTATGTAAATGTCAAGTCAATGGTTAAAATGGTCATTAAGTGATGAATGACACTGACGAGGCAAAGGAGTTATTTGCGCCACCCAAAATATAAAAGTAACCATTACCGCAAATTACATGTCCAAGAATATTGAAGTAAGATTTTTGTAGAAAACAAAATTATTAAGCATTATTGAGCTCTAAAATTCACGATAGCAAACATGAAAGCATTATGCAAGAAGAATTCAATTATAAAAATATAGATAAAAAAGGAATTAAGTCCATAATAGGCATCGAAGCACGTTGATCGAGCGTAGTTTTCCCAGATACAAGTCACGTTGTCCATCGCATGTGCTATAAAACGGGAACGATAGACTACTCCAAAGATAAATTACGCACCACAGATACGATACACGTTATTAAAACTCTATAATAGATATTGTGTGTCATCCACAACGTGTGTGATTCCAGAAAAAGTCGATGATTATTTTGTAGGGATTAGATATAAAGATTAGAAGCGCTGCACTATGTTTAGACCTAGCAGTTGCGTTTTAAAATTGATTTCTTCTAATAAAACTGTGTTCAATTAAATTAAAAGAAATTGATGAATGTAGAAGATAAAGAAAACGCTCGAAAATAAAAGAAATAATACTCACTTAAGTTGCTATTTAATATAATCATTACGTAGGTACTTACTTAATAGGCTAAGAGCAAATGTTGACGCGATACTAAAAAGATGAATAATTTAGGTATGCAAAGAATAAAAATCGTATTTAAATGTTTCTTTGACCTTCAGAATTTTCTAGAACGCTAAGCTAAATTATGCACCAGTGTTGTCAATAGCAGTTGTCATAGAGATTCGAATTATAAATTCAAACGCATTCATTCCAAAACGTTTCTAGTTAGCCAGTAACAAAATTATTTTAAGTTTTTTTTTTTACTTTTTGCAGACCCGAGGCTGAGAGAGTAAGGTACAAGTTTAGTAATTGTCATTGAAAATTGTAATGGCTTCTCTCCAACTGACTAGGCTTCTCTAGTTAAATCATTAAAACGTTCGTGAGAAAATAGCATTCCTAGGTCGAAGTAAAACAAGAAAATATTTATGAATGTATTATTTGTTTTCTTTATTTAAACGTGAAGTCATAAATAAGTGTAATAATTGTTCATATTGAATGAGTGACGTGTCCACGCGTTGCATGCGTGAAACTTTATAATATTTATTGATTTCCAGTCATCATCGGGTCAGATGACGTTTCTTATGACTGACCCCTCTTACACGTACACAGATTAGATTTAAAAACAACATCTTTATCCACTTAAGAAAACAAATCTCATAATCTCTTTCAGTGAATAATGAAATCAGTAATTAATATTTCTTCTGATGAAATTCTAAATCATTTTCTAATTATAAAATGTAATTAGGATTATTTGTTGCAATAAAAAGTAACTAGTTCTGACAATAGCGAATTTTTTTTTGCTAACCTATTTGAAATTACAAATTAATTCTTCATTGCAGGTTAACTGGAAGTTATGATCCGTAACTTTTCTGCTTAACACATTGCAAAAAACAAGCAAGATGTTGTGCTAATAATAAGGATAGATAGATACAGTTTGCAGTGAGTGACTTACACATTATTTATTTTATTATCTTTATGTCCAACTGGAGCGAATGGAAAACAACTGGCGTTTAATTAAAAAGTGGTCCTTTTGTACGGATGAAGTTATCAAACAATAAAATACCTTGAGAACTTCAAGAAAAAGTATATTTTAGTACAGCACGCAATGAATTTAATATTATGGAAATACTTTTATCAGTAAAACACATGGTACACGCAAGGTGTTTTATGGAAACGTAATGGTAATAAAAAACTTCAGGTGCAAATTGTTGAAGTTCCTAATATTTTTTTCTTTTCATTACAACAATAGTAAATTGTAAATAAGTAAATGAAATTGTTTGATTGTAAAATAATAGCATGGTTCTCCAACTAGGCAGCCAATACCGAAAAGATTTTAAATGTTGAAAACCCAGTCTCAAAACTGAAAAGTCTTTCTGGATCATTAGATACTAATATTTACGTATCCAACAAAAAATCTTCAGTATATTACACTATTGCTATTTTAGAAATTCATCTAAAGTATTTATTTTGTATCTGTGTAGGTGTTGCTACGCTAAAAAATACAGTCCACACCCGCCATTGAGTAGTGAGCAAATTAGACAGTTTCGTAATACTTACGTGCGTACCCTACCTAGTAAATATGTATAGATGTGATTAACTAACATGCCCTCAAAAGATTATACATATTGAGCAAACACTTCAATTTTGAGATAATAAAAATACTCTTAGGTTCTCAAGCCAAATGAAAATAAAGAGGATTTTTTAAAGATAGTACATTATTTACAGTAATGACTTTCATATTTTCGAAAATGAAGGAATGAAGTCAGTGCCCACACTATGTATTAAAAATAAAAACTCTTTAGATCAAAATTGGAGATAATCAACTCTAGTCTTAAAATATTCCTCTCAATCGATGTCAACGGGGAAGGCACTCAAATGTCTCACTAGCGCCACGACCGTAATATTTGGAATTTGGCCAAGAAAAAATAAAAAAATAATCGATTGATTGTATCTATTCAATTATATGCTATGACGGAAGATATATTGACGCTCATATCGCTAACAAGTATGATTCTTGAAATAGGTAAGTGCTTATATTGCAAAAAAATATTGCACGGAAGGATAGTTTACATAAAGAGATTTTCATTTAAATTATCGACGATATTTATTTATATTTATTGCCCATAAAATCATTAATCGTAGTAAATTAGATGTATGTAAGCATAATTAGGTACTTATATTATGATAAAATATTCAGTATTTAAATAAAAAAAAACATCTTTATCGTTGCTAAGTTGTGCTCATGTACTTTATGTTTAACAGTTTAAAGTCTTTGTACTAAGTAAAGTCTCGTAAACAGTTACCGAAGAGTTCATATTTGATAATGAACATAGCAACACACCCACAGAACCACAGATAAATTAGCAGAGTTCAGATAACAATGAAAAACACATTCATTATTATAATTATCTCATGAATCTAATATTACAATTAATCAAAATAATTATTTTGTAATAGATGGCATTCAAGATATTTATGTAGGTAATTTCTTAGAAAAAGTATGCTGTTTATTGCATAATTTTGTTATTAAATCGTTGTCATCAAATAATATGGGTTTCGTATTTACGTGCTGAGTTATGTACGTATTTGCAAACTTTGTTTTATTTTGTTTTAGGTTGTCTGCGTACATAATTGCCGTCATCGATAAGGTCATACGGAAATCATTATTTATACTTAGGCATAATAACATTTTATATAAATAACATAATATTTTATTTGCCACATCCAATTTTAAATACGTTCGTGCTATAAAATAATGTTTGTTTCCAAGCGAACGGGTCTAATCGGAGGCGTGGCGCTGACGTCAGGTGGCGCGATTAGCTGTTTTTTTTAAATGACGCGTTCGAACGCCCATGTTTTAAAATTGATGTCAAATGTCATTGGTGAAGAAAAAAATTAAAAAATAATTTGTAGTGTACCTATTATTTTTAGTTTAGAAAACGTACGTATTATGTGTTACACTATTTAAAAATTGTTAAGGTTTTTATCTGCTGTGTTGTTATATGATAGTTTTGAGAGGTCGGAGACCCATGACATGTAATATCGTTTTTATTTCTCGTCATCCACTGTCGATATGATCATCATCCGTGAATATTGATCTTTAGGTTACATTGGACTTACACGTGTCAGTCGAGATATGATTTGAGTCATAGATTAGGGTTAATAGGGAATCCCTTGTATGGCTTAAGTTGTAAAATTAAGCATCATGCCACAATGACGTTACATTTCTAAAAGATAACATAATCAACTAAAAATTGCACCAGCAATGTAAAATGAACACGGACTATGACCAAATCTAATACGAAAGGCGTAGAATAGCATTAAAAAATGCTTAACACTGCGATTGTTATACCGATAAAACTAGATTATACCTAATACCTGCTTATTAAAAGTATGGAAAGATATTATATTGTAGGCCAAAGTTCAGGCGTATCTTTTTAGTTGAGTACTTCTGGCAACAATGTGATGGCCGGAGGCAATTGACCGTTGTACTACACAGCATAGCATGACCAAAACGTGCTAAGCGGGAACTTTTTATAACTGACATTCTTAAATTCGAAATTCAAAACTACAGTACATTGAAAAAAAGAACATGTCAGTTATCAAACCTCTTTTTTTTGTTTTTGTCAGTGTGACAGAGATCCGTTTTTTGCACGAGTTTTTTTAGATCAGTCATTAGACACTTGGCTGATGGATTTGTGTTTGAGCCAACGGGGTCATCCTGCCTTGGAGCTAACGTGTAACACTATCTAGAATAGTAACATCATTATGTGGACGACAGTAAAAGGTATGAATCATGTCGATTTCAAACAGAGGGATTGTTGAATGGAATGTGTAAACCTCAAGTCGTGAATGAGCAATTCGAAGGAATTTATTAAGCCTAATTTATCTACTTGGCATATGAAAATGATCAGATGGTATTTGGCTAAAATTTTAATATCGATTTAGCCCAATAAAAGTAAATTGTAATAACTTCAGGCTAACTAAAACATCATATTGAAAAAGCAAGCACGGAATGGCTATCGGTGATCCATAAACTTATGTGATGGAACTATCGATTGCTCTTAACATATCACATAGATAGTGTTTATGGCAAAAATCTAATAACTAACTTAAGCCCAACACGCAGATTAAACGTGGATAGATAAATATAGCTGTCCAATCCAATGGTTTCTCCGAAAATTTTGTCGGACCAGACCGTATGTTACTGGCAGTCTGCCATCAAAATCTGCAACAGTTCTTCGGGCAATTGCCATGATGTCATCAAGGGAAACTCAGAAAAGCAGCAAGGTGGCCTAAGGAGTTTTAATGCCAAGTCTAGATTATAAACAACGGTTTGAATAAAGTACTGGCACGTTATGAAGTAACCGGTAGGCGGTAGGTACACAACAATACGATTGTTGACGAAGTTTACTATGAATTCCAAATTCAAAACATCGCTTTTGAACTTTTGTTTTCGTTTCGTACCTTTGTTGGCTTGGCTGTATATTAATTAGCATTGTGTTCTCTAGTTTGACAACGTAAACATGATTTTTGTTTTATTTATTAATTATTATATTGTATTCAAATTGTAATAACAGTAACATTATCGTTTTAACCGTAACTGTTTTGCATGGCTTATCTACCTATTGAGTTGATTTCATCCACATGATGAATAAAATATTTGTACGAAAAGTTTAAAATCAAAAACAATTTGAATTTAGAAGCATGAATCAACAATGCCGAATGAAACAGTCACTTCAATTTCACGCTTGAAAAAATCATAGAACTAATTTAATTTAACGAATTCGTGAAAAAATTATATTTATTTATAGGTAAATGTGCAAAAGGAAGGCGGAAAAATATGGGTAAAATTGAAGGCTGATTAATTTGTTCGGTAGTATAGTTTTTCAAGGACCTACCTATAACATTTCATTACGTTGTGGTACGTGATGTAAAGCCAATATTTATAATATTATTGTAAATTTTTTGTTACTAATCTTGGTACTGACCTTACCGATGACAACTAAGTAGGAAGCAATCAATCGACCACACTGTTCAATTCATTCACACCATAAAGATATTTAACTTCTATTTTTAGACTTTCATATCATTATTTCAGCTTGTTATTATGATAAAGAATTTGCATGGTCGCAACCTACACCGGGCATGAAAGCACAATGCAATTAAAATTATATAAAAAATCTGCAGACTTGTGGTGAAAAAAAATTTATCGATTTAGATGAAATAAATTATTGACTGAAAGTGAGGTTAGGTGATAATTTTTATACAGTTACAAAAATGTATGCCAAAGTTTTTGCACGCATAGAAAATAGAAACTCTCGCCGGTTGGAGGCCTGTCCCTGACTACAGAACAACAAAGTCATGACTTCACAATATCTAAGTTGACCGCTCACCATGTTTCATGTTAATACCAGCAGAGTAATCGTTTAAAAACAAAAGAATACTTTACAGCGTACACGTATTAAATATGGTCAAGAAAACAATGAACTCACCAGTTGCCAAAGCTCCGTTGAGAATTTTCTCTTTGTCCTCCATCATGGTGTGGGCGGTGCTTGCTCCTGGTGCCATCACGATTCTTCTAAGAGAAGGTCTCCTTGCTAAAGCAACGATGTGTTTGACGCGGTGCTGCTGTTGCGCTCTTCGGCGACGCGTGCGCACTCTATGAAGGCCTCCAGGCGACTGTCCGCTAACTCCACTTGTTATCACTGAGTGAACCTTATCAGCCCCGCGGCAGTGATTGCTGAACAACCATATAATAGCTGAATAGATTTTGCAGTATATTAACCAAATGTATAAATACCAGTCCCCCTGGATGCTTAGTAACGCCATCAATAGCGATCTAGAACAAAAAGAAATTATATTTAGAAGCGAATCTTTTGGGGTTCCAAAAAGTTTAGTTGGCAAAAATGAGCAAAAGTTTTACGAGATTCATTCAATTATCAATTCATTCATTCGTTTACTACTTGTTTCAATATTGATAGTGTTTCTTATCAAGCGGATTTCTTTGTGTATATTTTTAATTTGCGGTTTGTCATAGATAAAGTAATTTTAATACCTAAAACATATACTTAATAACATTCTGGTCGGTATATAGAAGACACTTGAGCATACTACAAGTTGTAAAATAAATACAAAGTCTTGTAGCAGATAGATAAAAATTATGATGTAACTGATGCTGTTTCTTACTAGTTCTAAAGTAAAGAGATTCAACAAAAACTTTGCCTTGTTAAATTTAAATATACGTTTTAGGTAACTATTTCTTTTTTTATCATTAATCGAACTGGTTCTTACAAAATGGATGGCACAATCATTATTAGTGATATGATGATGAAACATCAGAAACCTTTTCGTTTATAGATGTTCATCCTACTGACATTAATAACATTATAGATGTGATTGTTTGTATGATTGTCTTTTGTTACTCCATCACGTCAATATGGATGAAGGGAGTGAGATGAAAGGAACAGATTATAGTCTGGCAGAACATATAGGCCACTTTCTATCCTACGGGACCGCGGGTGAAACCGATAACAGAAGCTAGTAACTATTTATATGAATTTTTCCACTACCCATATAATCGTTATCACTATTTTATGTGTTTACTACTTTCTCCGTCTTATGTTTTCCATTTCTAACTGTATCCGCATTATAATAGGTTCCACATGTCTCATTATAATTATCAGAAAAGTGTCTAATTATATTACAAATTCCAAGTTCATCAAAATAAACATTTACTTTATCTGGTTCATCGACTTACTATGCTTCTGCTTATGACAATCTCTTAATCAAAAGCTTTGCATACTCAATATTATACTCCTGTCTTCTTATTCCTTTCTTTTTAATTTACTTCTTTCTTTTCCTTGTTCATTATTCTGTCCACGTATATGATATCCAAGTAAATATTGTATGCATGTCCCATCTTCAAGGCAGCTCGTTTCACTCCTTACGTCAGGTAGTGTAAATCTTGAATTTTTAACGCCAATTCGAACATGTTTGTTCAAAAAGGAATTTATTTCCAAGTTTATTGTCGTGTTCCATATCATTTGTGAGATTTTTCTTTACGTTTTCTAAGAATTCTGGCTTCCCATTTAGTTTGTAGTTAATAGTGGTCTAGATTTTACGTCTAATAATAGGGTAGATAACTAATTTTTATTTTAATGTCCATCTTGTAGACTATTTTAAAACAAATACTTTCGACGAAATATCGCATGACTTCCTAGAGACGTTTTATACGTAGAAATGACGTTTACCCCACTCCTAAACTTTGATTTGTTTTATCTCAGTATTATTATTATTATAGCTTTATACGACAAAATAAAAAATACATACGTGTCTAATATTTTTTCATTATCTAATTATCTAATTGACGGAGTACCTACTTAATTCGATTTTTAATTTTCATACCCCGTCATCATACCTTTTTTTAATGGGGGAAAATTATCGATTGACTGCTCCCGCCTGGATGAGGCGGGAGGGAGTGTCAGTCTCTTACTGACTATAAACCACCCCGTTCATACCAGGGATCCAGCACTTCGAGCCGGAGCCCCGGCAACCCGTTAAGTTCTCCGCGATATCAGGCCTATAATATAAATTCTCATGTCAACAATATCGAATAAGCTTTTGTAAAATCTTTTTGGTAATTAAATATTGTTTATAATTAACACCGGATATACTATTGCTCATTAGGTCAAATGAAACTTTATATTGTATGTTATATGAGCCAATGGAATGTTGTAGGTATAGTTGTCTGTTTACATTTTATATCTAGGTAATAATATGAAATATTGTTAAGTTAGCACTTGTTTAGGTAAAACCTTTATATGCCTTACGTCCAATTTCAATAACCTATCTATCTGTAGATTTGCTTACTAGAGATAGATTTGTGACGCTTTTTGTATGGAGCTCATGTCAAAATTCTATCTCTAGTAAGCAAATCTACAGATAGATAGGTTATTGAAACTGGCTGTTAATCAACAGAAAATACTTTAGTTATGACAATGCTCGAATGATGTTTTTAAATTAATTTTACTTAGTTACACTTTTTTTTTAAAGGGGGATATCATCGAATGACTGCTCCCGCCTGGGTGAGGCGAGAGGGAGTGTCAGACTCTTACTGACTAAAAACCACCCTGTTCCTTCTCCTGCACGTTGAGCCGGAGCCCCGGTAACCCGTTAGGTTCTCCGCGACATTTATACTTACACTTGGGTTTCCCATTTCAAAGACAGGTATTGCGCACTTAAAATGCATAGTCATCATTCAATATTTTTTTATTTTATTATTCCTGTCTAAAAGTCACGTAGACCAGGACTTACCTAAGCAATAGCTACCTACTCAATAATAGCTATTTTCCTCATTTTCAGAACATGCATAAAGGTTTCAAATTCCCAAGTTGAATAATTGACATTTTCCTATTTTAGTCATTACGTGCCCAAATAATCTATTTTTCGTACAAAATCTTCGGAACATTATCTATCATTTAGGTGTATGGTATATAGCTGCAAATCTACCTGAAGAAGCTACAAATCTCTCATCTATATTTTTAGTTAATGTTGCATTTCGCTAAATATACTTAGGTGCTTTGTTTTTCATTAATACTAAACTCAGTAGGTCATCTAAAGGGGAGTTCGTGCGTAATTTTGTAGAAAACATTTCAATGGTGAATAGTAAAACATGCCAAAGCTCTATTTTTCGAGCATTGCTCAACTTTATGACCGTTTCGATGGCTATCGACCCCAATTCTGTTGCCTTGTAGCTTGTGTACAAACAAACAATGTTACAATTTCAATATTTCTTATTCACAAGCTCGGAGGCATCAATCAAATGGCACTAAACATTGTGGTTTAACCACAACACAAAACGCAAATAGTTTTTGAAATCTGAACTTAATTTCTTTCTACAATAAAACATTAAACTAAACATAATATAGCCTTTTATCTCCGAAGGGATAGGTAGAGGTGCACATTACGGCACCTAATACCACTGTACGATGTAACACCTACTTTTCACTATTTATGTTATGAGTCCCATGTAATAGGGGGTGAGCCTATTGCCGTATACCGGGCACAAATCCAGACTCCGTGCTACTACTGTTAACTACTGAGATCTTAAAAAAAGGATCTCCGTAGTAAACTAAAACAAGGTTCTCAAACCACAGTCGATATTATAAGAAGGTGTATACAAACGGACGAATTACATAATGGCGTCCGCAATACAATAACTAGATGCTTAATTTATTAGAAAGATTTTACACGCTTCAGTAATAGGTACTATAAAAACTATGATCAAGAAATAACTGTCTCATAAAATATGGAAATGAATAAGAAATGATATATGGTAACTATCCATTCATTGCTCAAGAACCTGTATGATTAAATATGGCTAGTTCTAATTTGTTCACACTTCCTAGTTTAGCGTGATCTAAGCGGATAATGAATCTATCATGCTCTGACTTCATTTTCTGATGTAATGGTTCTTTTAGCTTTCTATGGATTGATTGGTTGCCGCGGAAGACTTAACGGATTGCCGGGGCTCCGGCTCGAAGTGCAGGAGTAGGAACAGGGTGGTTATTAGTCAGTAAGAGTCTGACACTCCCTCCCGCCTCACCCGGGCGGGAGAAGTCATTGGATTGGTTGCAGGGGACAAGTCTTTTCTTCTGCAATGGTGCAGGCAGTAGTGCTCCCATGTGTAACACTCATGCTTCAGCAGTTATGAATGCGAAGGTTTACTAAGACACAATTCTCGATTCAGTGTTATTACTAAAAATTCTGAAAAGTGAAAACCTAAGAATATTTTGTTTTTTTAATTGGGTACCATTAACCATTGTCCATTAACCGGTAAGTGCAGCACAGGACGTCCATCCACAAGGTGAATAGATGATCTGATAAAGGACGTAGGAAGCAGCTGATTGCAGGTGGCTTCCAATCGGTTGATTTGGAATGGAAGTCACTGGGAAAGCCTATGTATAGCAGAAGACGTCTTGTGGCTGGTATAATGATGACGACCATTCATTCTTATTTTGAAAGAGATTGTTTGAAGCTTTTTAGCAGCATGATGTTTCAGTCTCTTATCTTCTTGCACATCGATCACATGTTTCGTAATTGGCATCTATTCACGACTTTCCATAGCAACAGGTGCAACTATGATTGCACGGATATCCATTAGTTGATCTATTACATAACTTGTCATGTCGTAGCTATGACATTCCAATTTCTAAGCTTGCTGTGTGACTTGTATATCATTCCTTTAATAGAAGTCAGGTGCAACCGGATTCTTCACAAGATAGAGCTGTGTAAAATCTGACAAGTCCGGTGTGTATTTCTTTTTTATTTTGAAATCTTGATTCCGTGTTCTTGTTTACCTATCAGCATAAAATGGCGATGATAAACTATTAACTAATAGATACATACAACAATTTCATAATATCCATTTAAAACTGGCTTGTGTTAATAGGTATCTACATATATCTATATATTTTTTTCATATTTACATGGTAGATAAAATTTAAATATTGTCGAAACGGCAGCCTGATTTAGAAGATCCTTGAACTTTCAATGAATACCTAAGTATCGATTTTTCGTAGGTAGGTAGATAAATTATTATTAATGTGAAATGAAATGAGTGATACGTTTTTTTATTAGTTCGTCTTTGTTTTGTTAGGTCTTGTTATGTTTTCATTAGAGTTGTTAAACATCAGCCAACACCACGCATATATTTTCAAACTTGATTGATTGATTACTAACACCGAATGCATTTCTTAGTCTTCTTTTTATTACTTAACCTTTAATTTGACCTGTATCATCCTTGACTACAGTTGCTATGACGGTTTCTT